TCCTGAAGGCCAACGTACGCTCCACGACCTTCTCCCTCATCGCGTTTGGTTCCCGCATGCCTCCGGGGAAGATCGATCTGCCATTTTACAGCCGGGTGGAATTGGGGAGATTATGGCTTCTCGGTTTGCCGATCTGGGTCTGCTGGTACAGTCTTGGGCGCGCAATTGGGTCGGCTCCAAAGTGCTTGCGAGCACTGGTCTGTCTGACTTCGACGACTGGATGAATGGGGGAAGGACTTTCTGACGATCTTGTTCCGCTACAGTTGCTTCTTGGGCCTTTTCCATGATGATGCGCCGTCGTTGGAAAGCCGTACTTCTTTCGCCGCTGGTATGGCTCACACTGCATGGCACAAGTCGGCACGTGGTCGCAGCGCGCTTCTTCAACTCTTGGCAGAACTTCGGCATGCCCAGTCTGATCTCTGGCCTCTTGTTGCACGGGAACGAGGGCGCGATTTGCTTGCTATTCGTGGATGGGTGCACCACGCTTCTGCTTTCCTCAAGGTCACCAGCGAGGTGATCGAGGAGACCACCCACCTGCAGCCTGAGGTTCGTCATGTTCTTCCTGAGCTTGCTGTCCGTCTTCGCGATAGACTTGATGATCTCGGCCTTCGCGCTGATGATCTTGCTTTGCTGCTGCGCGATATTGACTGCAACGAGCCGACCGTCAACTTACCGACGCTGTATCCTCTTCGGAGCAATTCAGGTTCTTCAGTGGGCGCTGCACCTGGCCTGCCGCATATGGGCCACCCCCACTACGCTGCTTTGGTGGATCGCATCGGCGCTTGGTCACAGAACTAGATTCCCACTCTGGTGCTCCCCAGCAGCGGGAGCGACTTCCAGCAATGGATGAAGTGGCGCGTGCCTTATGTTGCCGACACGCTGCGTTTCTATGGCTTCAGCGACCTTCTCCAGTGCGCGGCCAACGCCATCTCGGACTGTGCTGCGCGCTGGGAAATGGTCATCGAGCTTTGCATGCATGGCTGGTACTCGGGTGTGATTATTCGGGGACGCTTGCGCCAACAAGTTCAGCATTAATGGTCCCTTCATTAGCGCTGTCGGCTCACCATGCTGAGACGATAAGGGATGGCACTGCTGCGACAGCTGGACTGGCGCCCGAACATCACGAGGATGCCTGTCGAAGGGCGAGCTGACGTTCTGAACATTCAGAAGACTTTCTTCCACGGGCCTGCCAAAGCTCTTCGACCTCATCTCCACCTCTTTTTTTACTTCATCTTCATTGTCAAGCTCAACCTGGGCACGGTGCGGCATATGGAACTTACCCTGACGAAGGTGATGAGAGCATTGGAGAAGAAGGGTGCCCCAACCCAACTGATGTCGACATCGAGCGCATGGTGGAAGCGGCAGATGCAGTAGTGGCTTCGTCGGCAGCAGCGACGGCACCACCGAATTTTGAAGACGATGCGATGGATCCTGCAGAATACTCGCGCCACTTTGGACCGATTTGGATTGACGAGGAATTCGAAGCGCAAGCAAAGATGGCGCTGCAACGTTATCGGGGTATCTTCCGTCGCGAGGGTGGGAGTGTTACGGCTTCGTATTCCTCGGCCCCTCCTGCGGCACCGTCGTCTCCTGCAGTGGAAGATCCACCTGAGGATGTAGCGTCGAGCAGTTCGGATGATATGTTAAACCACAAATTGGCGGCGCACGGCCTCTGTGTGATATACCCCGATGGGACGCTGGGTGGGGCTTTTCAATCGGGTGCCGCGACTTCATCGGCTGGAGGTGCTTCTGCGTCTTCGAGCTCTGGTGCAAGGCCGGCCTTTTCTGGTGCGGGTGGAGCGGGCATACCCAGTGGTGGTGCTGCGAGCAGTGGATGATTTTCAAGCCTTCAATCAACGTCCTGCTCTACAAACGGTTAGCGTGTTCGTCAAGTCCGTGACCACCGCCGCTCACAATGGGACGCCGCCGATGGACGATGGCAAGAATACGCTGAGGCCCTCGCAGCTGACCACGGCCACTCAGCATCTGGACTCACACTATGTTCTTCCCGACGGCCAACGAGAGCTAGTACTGTGGATGCTGCGCCACCCTGGATCTCTGTTGGAAATGGACGGTGAATCTGGATCTGCGCGCCTACCTGGCTTTGGAACCGATATCGCATTTCGAGATGATGAGAATGAGATCTTCGATGAACTCACGCTGGCCCACGCTTCAGAAGACGCTGATGGTGAGAATGGAACTGTGCTGAACACCTCCGCGGTCCTGGCCACAGACCATGCCCGACACCGATGACGAGGGCGAGTTTACCCAAGCTCTTGCAGCAAGCATGGCGTCTGGCTTGGGCAGCACGGCGGGCCATGGTGATGATGTTCTGGGGGTCGCGGGTGCTGGTGTGGATGTGGAGCAAGCGGGCGCCAGTGGATCATGCGCTCACCTAGTCTACCACCTGGGCACTTCGAGGAGATGCTGGCGAGGGGTGGCGTCGTCGAAGGTGTCGGCGAGCCTCCCGCGGTTGCCGCTGAACCTCATGCAGATGACCGAGCTGGCCCTGCTCTTGTTCTCGGCGACGCTGAAGCAGATGGCGTGACTCGGTTGCAGAGATTCCTCCTGGTGGTTATAGTATCGATGAGCTTGCCGCTATCTGGGACCCCTTGGCCGACGATGGCGCTGATCCACGTGCAGGTGATATGATTTCTTCTGGGCTCGGCGCGGCTCCTGCTCAACAGCTTCCACAAGCTGATCCAGTTCGGCAAGGGTGTGAGTTGGGCCCCGCTGCTGCTGGCAGTGGGCATGCGGGGAGGTTGGATGGTGACGGTGTGGGGGGCCTCTTCCCAGCAACGAGTGGTTCGCCCTCTGGCACGTCGTCGGCTGCACCTTGCCAAGCCGACGGGGATAACCATGGAGACGCTTCGCGAGATTATGGGGGGCCTGACCAAGCAGTTCAGCAACCTGGACTCGACGCTGGGGATGCTCCCCCTCCTGCTGATGTTCATGCCGTGGCGATGGACAGTGACGAGCGGGACGCTGACGGCCTCGCCGTCGTCGCTGGCCTCGCGGAGGACGGCGACTTCAACGACTTCAATTCTGAGGAGGCGGGCGGCGCGCGCAGCGCGGCCGAGGCCTAGGCGCGGGCGGAGGGATGGCGCGCCTCTTCAGTGGCGTGGGCTCCTCCCCCTCCTGCTACTACTACTACTTCTGCTACTGCTACGACTGCTACTACTACTACTACTACTACTACTACTACTACTACTACTACTTCTATTTATACTACTTCTTCTACTACTACTACTACTACTACTGCTACTACTACTACTACTACTACTACTACTGCTACTGCTACTGCTGCTACTACTACTAATATTACTACTACTACTACTACTACTATTACTACTATTACTGCTGCTGCGATTACTACTACTACTACTACTACTACTACTACTACTACTACTACTACTACTACTACTACTACTACTACTACTAGTACTAGCGCTACTAGCTACTACTACTACTACTACTACTACTACTAGTACTACTCGTACTCGTAATGCTTCTTCTACTACTACTACTACTGCTACTACTTCTACTTCTACTTCTACTTCGACTACTACTAAAATACGACTGCTGCTACTACTAGTACTACTACGACTACTACTGCTACTACGACTACTATTTCATATACTATTTTTATTACTACTATTACTACTACTACTACTACTACTACTACTACTACTACTACTACTACTACTACTAGTACTACTACTACTACTAGTACTACTACTACTACTACTACTACTACTACTACTACTACTACTAATACTACTACTACTTACTACTACTACTACTACTACTTACTACTACTACTACTACCACTACTACTACTACTACTACTACTACTACTACTACTACCACTACCACTACTACTACTACTACTACTACTACTACTACTACTACTACTACTACTACTACTACTACTACTACTACTACTACTACTACTAGTATTACTACTACCACTACTACTACTACTACTACTACTACTACTACTACTGCTACTACTACTACTGCTACTACTACGACTACTACTACTACTACTCCTACTCCTCCGTCTACTCCTCATCCTCTTCTCACTCCCCCTCCTCTTCCTCATTCTCCTCGTCCTCTTCCTCCATTCCTTCTCATTATACAAAACTTCTCCCCGTCGCACCCCGAGGCAAGTTTTTAGGGCCAGCCGGCGTTTCGACTGAAGCTTCCTCACCATGTATGACCTTGAAGCTTAACATTGACAATAGTTCCACAGATGGGGGGCGGGTGATGTTTAAACCGTGGCTCTCGCCTTAGGGCCGCGCATATGCGTTTTGAAACATTGCAAGAGCTTCGCGGATTGAGGGCGACTGGTTTTCAGGATGTGGTTCTCGCCTTGGCGCCCGGTACATTCGTTTGAAACGTTGGCAAGAGCTTCACGGATTGAGGGCGGTTCCTGTTCAAAATGGTGTTCTCGCTTTAGCTCCGCGCACATGTTTTGAATCTGCAAGAGCTTCGCTGATCCGCATGATCTGCGTACCAGAAATAGTGTTCCGGAAGGATTCAGGATTATGAGTGTGCAACAGTTACATTGAGTCGCGGTGTGAAAACGGCTGCTTCAGGGTCTTCAAACGGTTGTCTTCCAACGGGGCAGTTCCCTCAGTGGAAATGACCTCTTCTAGCTGCCTGTGAAGAGGGAGCTTGGAGGGAGGGAGGCTTTATTCCAACATCGCTGATGCCTCTTAGGTTTACACTGGTCCTCCTCCTCCTCCTCTTCCTCCGCCGCCCCCTCCCTCAGGGGCAATAATAGGGGAGGATGGGCATAAGGGGGATGCATCGACCCCCAATCGTCATCGATCGCCGGTAGGGTCCCGATAGCCCCCACCCGCCCAGGGAGGTGCTGTTTCGCCATCGGATCCTATCGCCGATCTATCGACGACGTATCGCTGATTGCAGATCGATGTGTTCCGCCCTGTGCCAGCCCCCCCCCCTACTACCGTTGGCCCTCACACCCGCCGCAGACCTGGCCAACCTGCTGCCCACCGAGTCGCTGCTGCCCCTGCTGGAGATCCTCAGGGCCCGCGAGGGCAAGGCCGACTCGCCGCCGCCCCGCCGGGGCCTCTCGAGGGCCTCGTGGCCTCGAGGCTCCGGGATCGAGGGACGAGGATCGAGGCCTCAGGATCGGGGATCGAGGTTCGAGGATCTGGCCTCGAGGCCTCGAGGTCGGTGCCCGATCCTGAAGGAGGAGGGGGAGGAGGAGGAGGAGGAGGAGGAGGAGGAGGAGGAGGAGGAGGCGGAGGAGGAGGAGGAGGCGGAGAAGGAGGGGCGGAGAGGGAGGGGAGGAGGTGGAGGAGGAGGAAAAGGATGTGGAGGAGGAGGAGGAGGAGGAGGAGGAGGAGGAGGACTCGAGGCTCTGGGATCGGCCCTCGCCGTCGTCGAGGCTCGAGGCCTCGAGGGTAGGGGCCGCCGCCGTGGGGCCTCGAGGATCGAGGACTGGAGGCCTCGAGGGGGTCGGGGGATCGAGGGGGGGTCTTCGGGAGGGGGAGAGCACTCGGGCCAGACGAAAGGGGGGGATAGAGAAAGGGGGGGTTACGAAATCTGCTGCATGCAGCTGGTTTCGGCCCCGCCGCCGGGCCCATTCCTCGATACATGGGCGCCTCCCGGCGCCGGGAAAATCAGCTACGCGAGCTGATTCCCACCCCCCCCTTTGCTACCCCCCCTTTCGCCCGGCCCGAAACACACAGACACAACTACGGTAGGTTCGCGTCGTGACGACCGGTGGCGACCCCGCCGCCGGCGTTGAACGTTGAACGCCGCCAGCGACCCAGAATCGGTCGATGTTGAACGAGCTTACGTTTCGGAAACGGGCGATCGTTCAAGGTTGAACGATCCCCGCGGTGTCAGAAACCAACGCCGAAGTCGGTACGACACGAACCTGCAGTAATCGTCGGTCCCCAGCAAAATATGGGGAAACATGAGAAGCGGGGGGGAAAGAGGAAGACCCATAACATATGAGAACATCAATGGGGAATTCTGGGATCCGTGTCCATTTGTTTGTGTGTCCCAGGGCCCCTTTCAGGTCTGGCGGCGGTTCCCTCAGGCCTCCAGAAACGGGTCGTCGTCGGCGTTGTCTACGTCTTCGTCGTCGCCGCCGTCGTCGTGAGTGATGTCTTCGGCGTCGTCGGCCTGAGCCGGAGCTCTGAAGGAGCAGGAGGTGGAGCAGGAGGAGGACGAGGAGGAGGAGGAGGAGGAGCATGTGGAGGAGGAGGACTGCCTCGTCACCCGCCCGCGCGGAGAAGAGAGCGGCAGGCGTGCCAGCTGAGCCGCGAGAACGAGAGGCTCCGTGAGGAGGTGGGGCGGCTGCGCTCCAAGGTCTGCGCAGAGCGGAGCAGGCGCACGGAGGCGCCCTCTCTGCTTTCCCTCCTGCTTTGTGGAGGGGTGGGGGGGCGCCCTCTCTTCTCTTTCCTCTTGCCTGTGGAGGGGGGGGGGCGAGGAGGGCGGCCCGAGGACGAAAAGGGGGTGGACTCGATGGCCGGGGGCGCGAGGTCTCCCCAGAGTTCACGGCTCCGTCTTCTTGACTTTCTACGTCCGTGCAGCCCCCCCGGGCCGCGCACGTGATTCGGGCAAACGGTTTGCGAACCCGCCTCGTGCACGCCCCATCCTTTGGACGCCCCCGATTTGGTCGTCTTCCTGCGCCCTTTGTCGCTCCACCGATGGCGACGAGGCGGCCTTTTCCCCGTTTGCTATGTCTCTCTCTCTCTCTCTTTCTATCCCTCTCTCCTACAGTCAAGTCGGGCCTGTTCCTCTACAGGAGGGAAATTCAAAAATAGTTTTAAAAAATAGTCAGGGGACGATTTTTCTACTATGTTTGACAATTTTGGGAGCATTTCTGGAGTACCTTTTTAAAAATTTGTCGTCCAACATCTCCCTGTAGGGGGATACGCCCAACCTAATCCTACAGGGGCAACGATATGGGAACTGACGCGCTGCCAGTTCTGGCCCACCACGCTTCGGCGCGACACGCCAACGTTTTCTGGGTCCCCGAGCATTGGGGCCCCGAGCTTTTCGAGGCCTCCCGCCCCGCGGGGCTGAGCGACTCCCTGGCCGCTCACAAGGCGCAGCGCGTCGGCTGGGGCCGCCGCCGAGACGCGCTGAGCAGCAGCTCCCGACCGTATCGCTTTTCCTGCTCGCGTCCTGCGCCCTCCGACGCTCCGCCGCCGCCGAGTCGAGTCGGGCCTGTCCCTCTACAGGAGGAACGTTCAAACATAGTAAAAAGTAGTCTGGGGACGATTTGTTGAATAGTTTTCGACCACTTTTGAACGTTGTTTGACAATTTGTGCTTGTTCCTCTAAAATCTGCCTGTGGGGGGACATGCCCGACCTAGCCTTTCCCCCTGCTCCGCTGCCCCTCCTCTTCCAGGGGCGGTTCCAGGTCTTCGGGCGTCTTCGTCGGCCCTCGGCTGTTCTTGCAACTTTGGGAAACCTTCCGGTGGCTGCGCCTCGCCGAGAGCTTTCGAGGGTTCCCAGATCGTCTCGAGTGGCCCGGAAATCGAAAAAGAAAAGACTGCATGAACATTAACTTTCGGAGCTCCGCGCGGCTTCTTGGATCTGCGCTGGGGCCCCTTGGCGGCGCCTCCGGCGCCGCCCCTGTCGCGCTCCGCGCGCCAGGGAGGGGGGTCCAGCGCAGATCCAAGAAATCCGCGCGCAGCGCCAAAAGTTCATGTTTATAGTGTTTTGTCTTCTTCTAGAAAATCACCAGAGGCAATGCGAGGAGGGGATAGGCTGACGGGGGGGAACGCATCCGCTCTCAATCGCCCAGTCATCGCTGGCAGGGGCCCGATAGCCCACCCCGCCCAGGGTCGTGAAGCTTTTTGCTGTCGGGGGCCCACTCTCGTGATCCACTCCCCCCCTCTCGTCCTCCCTCACTCCTGCTGGTGCCCCGTCCCTTCGCCTTTGGTCCCTGTTCTGGCTCCGTGGGGTGCGTCAAGTCTGCGAAAGCCATCTGGGGGCCCTGCAGCAGGAGCTGCGGTGGTGCAAACACGAGGGCCCGCGCTCCGTGAGCATCGGGGTTTGTGTGTGATGGCAGACGTGCGCTCTTTCTCCGTCCCCCTTCCTTCTAAGCATCTCTTCCTCGTCGCCTTACGTAAGACCATCGGCTGGACAACGTAAAACAGTTGCACGGATCCAGGGCGCTTCCATTTCAATGTGTTGATCTCGGCTTGCGATTCATTCTGTATCACCAGAAGTTTGACACTGTGCGCCGGCAGCGCGAATTGAGGGAGAGTTCCTTTCGACACGGTGTTCTCGCGAAACATGTTATCGTACGTTGCAATCGTTTTATTTGCACTTCCTCAGGCGGGAAGTATAGGGGGTGGTTCTTTTCAAAACGGGACTTTCGCATGAATTGCAGGCAAAAAGGGGTAATCGCTTTTCGAGGAGGCGCTTTCCGCAGTTAAGAGGAAGGCTGTCAGGGTCTCGTAGGGCAAAGACTCGGGGACTGGAGGGCGCAGCAGCCTTGGCGATGCATCCAGGATTTCCGGTATGGTCCTCCTCCTCGTTGCCCTTGGGCGCGGAGTGGGCCAAGCGGACCAGAGGGCTCGAACGCCATCTCGTCCTCCCCCGATCGACACTTTCTTGAGGCTCTTGACTTAGGAGACCTGGCACAGACGCAGACTCCCCTCTCCACCTCCTCCGCCACAGCACGCGTGGCAGTTGGCGAATGCTGCCAGGTGGTCCCTGTCACCTTCGGGGACGCGGGGTCGGCGCTCCGGGGGGAGCTCGGGCCGATGTCGGCCCCAGACTCGGGGGGCCTTCGGGGGGACTACAGACCCTCGCGCCCCCCCGCTCACAGACACCCTTCCTCAGATGAGCGACGCAAAAAAACGGGGTCGTCTGCGCCGACAATGGCGCGCAAGCTGCCCGCGTAAGGTCGCGCGTAAGCGCCCTCGTCTACAGTGGCGTGCCGCGCCGGCGGCCTGCGCAAGCCGCGGCGTAAGTTCGCGATGTCATCTCGCGTGAGACCCGTTTTTGATCGTCGCTCAGATGTGAATGATTCAATTCGCGGCCCCAGAGATCCCGACCCCTTCGGTGGGGGTAGGTCTGCGTCCCTGATCCGTTTTTGAACGGTCCCGCGGCCTGGCAAGGGGCCCCAGAGGCCGAAATCCAGCACAGACGCCTGCACTGAACAAAACAAATTCTCGTCGGAGATTTGGGAGTGTCGCCCCTTAACCTAGACTAGAGGATATAGGTGCTCATGCGTTGGATTATGTTGCTCACATCGTACTTCAGGAGCACATCCCAGAAATAAGTTTGAGCACCCCGAGATATCGAAACAGTGTCTGCCCTGCACGCTGGCGAGGTGTCGGCCGGCTGTCGCCTCCCAGGGCCAGGGCCCGACACGTGAAACCCCGCCAGATTCGGTATTCTGCTGGTGCCCAGAATTCCTCCTGGTGGTCGAGGCTGAGGTGGAACATCAGAAGCTTGGGACACGTGCTCGACCTCCCACGGCGCCTCCGGAGGGCTACCTCCGTGCAGAGACATCCCGTGGGGACCTCAGGGGAGCGCTGAGGGTCGAACATCACCACGCACCCAAAGCACCCCAACCCAACCCGAAGGATGAGTTTTACCTCCATTCCCAGTGCGGGGGGGGGAGTCGTGGAACACTGAGAAAACACGTGTGGTACCCCCCCCAATCCGAAATTTGGGTCTTCGGGTTGGGTTGGGTTGGTCTGATAGGTAGTCAGAGCAATACCAGCGGTGAAAGAAACCAACGCCAGGGTCGTGACGGCACGAACTTGACCTACTCGTCTGGCATCGTGCTTGGGGACATCAATGAAATAGTGGATATGGGTATTTGCGGGCCGCCAGCGGCGAGGGATTATCCATGCCATCGATCCTCAGGGACGGGGGGCTTGACTCAAGAAGTTGTGGATGTAGATGAGGTTTCTTGGCGGAGCAGCCCCCTCACCCTCTACTACTCCCCTCCCCCCCTCCTTTTATTCAGCCCGCAGAGCGGGAGTCACGGCGGGCCCCTGGGTGGAAGCTAGCGCCCGATTCTCGCGATCAGCGCCCCTTCGGGAGTGCTGGCCTCGACGCGCGCGTGGCCGGGCACTCCGCCGAGCAGGCAGACCGAGGAGCTCTTCCCCCCGACCTCTGGCCCCCCTCAGTCTGCGGCAGCGCTCCAGGCGCTCCGCCCGCCGATCCCGTGGCTCTGCACGTCTCCGCCCGGTCGGCAGCGGTGACCGGTGCCTCGCTGCGCCCGTCGTGCAGATGGCGGAGCCATCGAGGCCAGCAATAAGGGGGGCATGGGCATAGGGGGGCATGGGCATTAGGGGGGGGGATGCATCCACGCCTAATCGCCCATTGATCGCCGATAGGGGCCCCTCAAGCCAGGTCGGGGATGAGCCCCCCGGGCCGAGGCTACTTCAGCCGCACTCGGAAGGTAGTAGCAGCGCGGGCGTGTTCGAACGAGCACGCGCGAGTGTGAGAGTTTAGGTAACTGAGCACCAGGAGGAGGAGGAGGAGAAGGAGAAGGAGGAGGAGGAGAGATGCGGGATCGAGCGGCTTCCCAATATGCTGACGTGCTGGTCAGGTCGACCACGCCTTTGTTGCGGCCAGGTTGGCAGCGTGGTTGCCCCAATTGGCTTCAGCAGGATCCAGCGCAGCCCAAGGGGGCGCCGTCCGTTATCATTGTGGCTGCAGCAAGGGACGCCCATGATTTATTTGGCGAGTATGCGGTCTGATTGGTGTGTACGCTATCTGTTCAGGAGGGCAACATGGCTATGACCTCTGACGCTGCGGAGCCTGAGTTATACGAAGAGCCTGCACTCCGAATCAACATTGTCAAGGATGTCCCTTGTATTTGCGAGGTTCGGCGTTCTTCTGCCAAGGGGAGAGGATTGTACATGACGCAAAGTGCCCATCCAGGCGACGTGATTTATTCAGAGAAACCTGCTGTTGTCATCCCCAAAGCAGGCGATAACGAAAGTGGTTGCGATCGAGCTAAACAGCCGAAGGACTCTTGGCGCAGCGCGGCTGCTCTGGCGACAGGCCCACAGCCTCAGCTGGAGGCCGTGATGGCCTTCTTGGAGCCGTTGGACACGGAGCATCCAGCTTATGAAGTCTTTCGCGATTCTTTGAATGAGGGCGTGATTTGGCTCCAAGAGGCAGGGGTAAGACTTGATCCTGCCTCACTTAAAAAGCTAATGCTCTCGACGCTGTTGAACGGCTGGGGAGGGGACCAGGGTAAGCTGCTTTTCATATGGTTGTCAATGACTAACCACTCGTGCGACCCATCTGCAGTCATGGTCACCGAAGGACAGAGCGACCCTGCATTGTTGAAAGTGGAAGTGCGGGCTTTGGTCGACTTGAAAGAAGGCGATGAAGTTACCTTATGTTATATACATGATGTGATGTTGCCACCGAAGGAACGGGCCGCCCACCTCATGAAAGGTTGGTTCTTCTCCAACGTGACACCGTTGGCAAGTGATGAGTTCATCAATGCATATGTGAAAGAAGGCCCCGACACCGACGCTGCAGTGGCAAACATAATCGAAGCCAATGGATTCGCGATGAAAGCGTGGGACCTTGGGCATTCCAGCCAAGATCCAGTAGCCGCAAGCCGGCACCTGAAGAATGCTCTAGGTGCTTACCAGCTCGTGTTGAAGTCTGCGTCCGGAGTTTTGCATTCCGAGCATGGCTGGGTCTTGAATGCGCAACGTCGCATGGCCTCAATATTGCTCAGAGAACAGGAGCAGTTTCCAGGCACCGCCGGGGTGGCTCTCAAACTCTGCTCTGCAGTTGCAGCAGGAGAGGAAAAGATTTATCGTTTAGGCCGTGTAAGGCTCACAGAAACGCATAGCATGGCAGTAGAGGCGGCAGAGCTGTCTGGCGATAGGCTTGCGGCAGACATGTGGAAAGCCAAAGTTGCTCAGGGCAAAGCAATCCGCGGGATGCGCTACGGCCAGTAATTGTGATTGGTACAACGACTTCATGGACTCGATGCGGGAGGTGCCCCATTGGTGTTTGTGTTTTATTCGTGTTCGTGGTGGCCGAGGCAGGAGGGTGAGCCACCTTCGCTTCCTCCACCAGCAATCCCCTCGTGCATGTAGCGCACGATAAATAGTCTTGATGCACGGCGAACGGGCTTGATGCGGACAGAAGGTCTGATGGCTGTTTGCGAAGAACTCGAACATATTCAGCCGCTTTGCTGATTATTGCCACGCGCTACCCCCGACATGTATGCAACGAACCGTCTGGAAACATACGATACGCTGCTGTCGAACATTGAGATCGGTGCAACAAGTGTGTGGGCGCCAAGTGGCCACCAGGATAAATTCAGAGAACTCTTGGAGGTGCCTCAGACAGCCAAACAGGTCCAACAAGAAGCCAAAGTGACCCCCAAAGGCTCTGATGTGGCTCTGCGCAGGGTCGCCGAGAGGCGAACATCTGCAAAACCGATGGGATGTCAATACGTGTTTGGCAGCCTCCAAAGGCCTTCAAGAGAGCCCAAGAAGCACGGGCGCCCCAAAACGGGCCCGGCATGCCCCCAACATGCCCCCGAGACGGTCCAAGACCGCTCCCCAGACGGCCCCCCCCGACACACCGAACCGGCCCCACGATGCCTCAAGGGCTCAGGAAGCCCCAGGGGGACCTCTGCCGAGCCCGAGAGCGCCCCTCGATTCGGACGGGGCCAGGACGAGGATAACTCCGCTCCAGAGCGTGCCGGAACGCTCGCAGAGCGTTCTGAGAAGGCCGCGGCGCCCGAGACATCCTCCAGAACCGCCGGATCTCAGAGGTTCTCGACTTATCCTCACTTGTTTTCATTCTCGTCTTGGCTTTGAGTCGGGCTTGTCCCTGTACAGGGGGAATATTCAAAAATAGTCAAACAATAGTCTGGGGACGATTTTTTGCGAATTCTTGGACCATTTGGGGGCATTTTTCTTGTATTTTTCTTCCGTCCAAAATCCCCCTGTAGGGGGACATGCCCGACCTAGTCCTGGCCTCGTCTTGCCTGCGGCTCCAGGAGGGCCACAGGCCAGGAGCAGCGAGCGCTCCCCCGCCCTCTCTCCGGGGGAGGGCGCGCCCCGTCCCCTGGCCGGCCACGTGCCAGGGGCCTCTGGCCCGCCAGGCTTGCGAAGCCCCTCCCCTGCCCTTCTTTCAGGAGGGGAAATAACACACAGACGCAATTCTTGACGCTTCGCGTATCCCCACCAGCCCATCCTGCACCAGGCACTCGAACGAAGAGCGCCGATGATCGGCAGCTGTTCTTATCCCCCTCTTCCTCCTTCTCCTCCGCCTTCTTCCTCCTCCTCCTCTCCTCCTCCCTCTCCTCCTCCTCTTCCTCCTCCTCCTCCGCCTCTTCCTCTTCCTCCGCCTCTTCCTTCCTCCTGTATTTTCGACCTTGCCGCAATCTCCTGCAACAGCAGTCGGACGTGACGCTTTTCTTAGCTTCCGTCTGGAACAATGAGAGCAATTGAGGCGTCGAGTACGGATGTGCAGGAAGAGTTACATATTTCTGTGAGAAGCATTTGATCGTTTCGGTTGCTCTTACATGTGTTTTCGCAGTATTCTGGGCTTCGCGTCCCGCGCGAGCGCTCGAATGAATTTAGTTTGAAACAGTTTTTGGGCGTCTGGGGTCCTTTTAGACGCCATCGGGGCGCTCTGGGGGGGGGGGGGGCATCTTGGAGCAAATCTATCAAAGAAGAGCAGAGCTTTAATTAGCGTTGCTCCTCCAGACTGCCTAAAATCGCTTCCTGGACCCCTCTTGGAGCGCTCTTGGACGCTGTTGAGGCAGTCTTGAGGCTCTCTTGGGCCCCTGTTGGGGCCCAGTTGGGACATCTTGGCGCCATCTTGAGGCCTCGGATGGGCTTCGGAAGCGAAAAAGTAAGAACACCAAAAACATTGATTTTCCCTAGGGTTTTGAAGCATTTCGGCCTTTTGAGGGCACTCTAATGATGCTCTTGTGGGCACTTGGAACCATCTTGGAGCGGTCTTGGAACGTGTTGGAGCGTCTTCTGAACCATCTTCAGGCATCTTGCGCTATAGTGAGCCATCTTGGAGGCGATCTTGGGCTCTCTGAGGCCCTCTTGGAGCCGTCCTGGGCCATCTTGGACGCCCTGACCGCTCCCCGCCCCTCCTGTCCAGGTCAGTGGGGAGGGGGTAGGGGGAGGGGCAAACCCCTCCCCGAAAGGGAAGGGGGAGGGGTGGAAGAGGAAACGCCATAAACCACCGACGCCCAGAGGGCTGGTGGGGAAACGCTTCGCGTATCCTCACCAGCCCGTCCAAAAACGACGCCCAGGCGAGTAGAGGGTCGTCTTGGGGGGCTTTTCGGCGTCTTGGGTGCCTCGGGGGTGCCTCTGTGGGCCGTTCGGGATCCTGTTTGGGGCCTCCTGGGGGCCTCTTGGGGCCATCTTGGGGCCTTTTTGGGGCCTCCTGGGCGCTTCTTGGGGCCATCTTTGCCCCCTCAGGATGCCCAAACGGGGCCAACATCTTAGTAAAATCAATGTTGTTGGCTTCCTCGCCGAGGCCGTTTTGGACGCTCTGACCGTTCGCGGCCCCCCCCCGTCCAGGTCCACGGGGAAGGGGTAGGGGGAGGGGTAAACCCCTCCCCGAAGGGAAAGAGGGAGGGGTGGAAGAGGAAACGCCTTAAACCCCCGACGCCCAGAGGGCTGGTGGGATTGCCTCGATCAGGGAAGTGGACAGCACACAGAGGAAGCCAGTATGAGACATCTTGGGATTTCTTGAGCCATCTTGGAGGTCATGTTGGGCTCTCCGAGGCGCTCTTGGAGTCATCTTAATCAGTGCCCCCCCAAGAGGCCAACATGTGGCTAAAACCTTAGTGCAAACAATGGTTTGACATTATCGCCGACGCCTCTGGGAGCATCTTGGGTGCCTCTGGGCTTGGGTGGCCTCTTGGGGCCATCTTGGGGCCATCCTGCGGCCTCTTGGGGCATCCTGGGGGCCTCTTGCGGCCATCGTGGAGGAAATCGATCAAAGAAGAGGGGAGCTTTAATTAGCCCTGCCCCCTCAGAGCGCCAACATGGGGCCAAAATCTCAGTAAAATCAATGATTTTGGCTTCCTCGCCGAGGCCGTCTTGGACGCTCTGACCGCTCCCCGCCCCTCCTGTCCAGGTCAGTGGGGAGGGGGTAGGGGGAGGGGTAAACCCCTCCCCGAAGGGGAAGAGGGAGGGGTGGAAGAGGAAACGCCCTAAACCACCGACGCCCAGAGGGCTGGCGGGATTGAGGCGTCGAGTAAGGGAGCGGTCAGGAAGAATCACATGTTTCCCGGGACAATCATGTGATCTGGCGGATAAAGAGAAGGGGGCAGGAGTATCATAGTAGGCAGGTACGGATGATGATGATGATGCTGATGGTGGTGGTGATGATGATGATTATGATGATGATGATGATTATGATGATGATGATGATGATGATGGAGAGGATGATGAGGAGGAGGAGGAGGAGGAGGAAAAGGAAGAGGATGAGAAGGCGGACGAGGAGGAGGAGGAGGAGGAGGAGGCGGAGGCGGCGGAGGAGGAAGAGAAGGATGAACAAGACACATGACGAATATAAGAGCCTCCTAGGATCTCTTTTCGGAGTAGTCTTGGAAGTCTCTTGAGACGTCTGGGGAGCTTTCCAATGGCCTCAGGGAGACTCTTGAGGTTTCTTGGGGGTCTTTTGGAAAGCTGTTTTGGGAGGCTTGGGCTCCTCTTGGACCCGTCTGGGCGCCCTTGAAGGCCCTGCTGGGGCGCTCTTGGGGCAATTTTGGAGGACATCGGCCAAGGAAGTGGTGTTCCCTAATTACAGCCCCCCCCCCAGGAGCTCCAAAAATCGCTTCCTGGACCCCTCTTGGATCGCTCTTGGAGCGCTCGTGGCCGCTCTTGGAGCCATCCTGAGGCTCTCTTGGGCCCCTCTTGGAGCTATCTTGAGCCATCTTGGAGCCATCTTGACGCGTCGGATGTGCATCGCAAGCGAAAACGTGAGAACATCAAAAACATTGATTTTCCCTAGGGTTTTGAAGCATGTTGGCCTCTTGGATGCATCTTAGTGATGCTCTTGTGGGCACTTGGAACCGTCTTGGGGAGTTCTTGAAGCGTCTTGGACATCATGGGGACCATCTTGAGGCATCTTGCGCTATCTTGAGCCATCTTGGAGGTCATCTTGAGCTCCCTGAGGCCCTCATGGAGCCGTGTTGGGCCGTCTTGGACGCTCTAACTACCCGCGGCCCCCCCTGTCCAGGTCAGTGGGGAGGGGGTAGGGGGAGGGGTAAACCCCTCCCCGAAGGGGAAGAAGGAGGGGTGGAAGAGGAAACGCCCTAAACCACCGACGCCCAGAGGGCTGGTGGGATTAATCGTCGACTCCCCAGAAAATATTGGAAAATATGGGAAGTGGAGGGGAAGATGACAACCCAGAAAATATGAGAAAATATGGGGAATCCCGCTATTTGTTTATATTCACTTGTGTGTTCTTGGGCCCTTTCATTCTTGCCCACCCTCCCAGGGACCGTTTCGATTCCTTCGGTTCGGTTCGACCTCGATGGCTTCCGACTCCGATTCGGCTTCGGAGTCCGCTGTGGGCTCCGATTTCTCAACGGGGGCCCGCAAGCCTGCCGATTTCCGCCGATTCGACGTCTCCCGACTCGGCTGCCGATGTCCGCCCATCCACTTCATTTCGATCGCCGATCCGACTAATCGGTTCGATTCTAGGGTCTCCTGCCCTCCTGATTATCATGTGCCTACGTCGTTGTTCGCGGGATCTGCTGATGTTGTTGTTGATTAACCACTTGAAGTGAATAAATGTTGTTGATCCCCCCTGTCTGGTGACCACTGTATCTTTCGTTTACAATGCTCCTGGGGCTCGCAGCTTGTTTTTTCAAAGTAAGTGTGGGGTCACCAGACTGCGCAGTCTGGGCCCGAACTACAACAACTGCTCCTGCCTGATACGTCCTCACCACTTTTTGTGAAATCGAGCTCTCGCGCGGAACTTCCTCACAATCTATGTAGGAATCGTGCTCTCGCGTGGGACTCCATCGCAGTATTCAAACGACGCGCCCTCGACGCTCAGGAATCGCGCTATCGCGCCGGTTTTTCTCGCGATTCACTTGGCGAATCGCGCTATCGCTCGAGACCTCCTGGCGATACACTCAGTGCTCACGCTTCAGCAACCCGGCTGCTCGACCTGGCCGCGTGGGCCCGCCTTCCCGACCCGCCCGTCAGGGACTCGCCCGATCAGCCCGTCGTGTGGCGCCACGGCCCATCGGGTGCCGTGGCGTATACCACGCAAGAAACCCACGCTGAGCCCCATGGGGCCGTGGGTCGGGTCCAAGGCCGCGAGGGCGCGGACACGGACGTGCTCGCCGCTCGT